TCGTCGATGAATTTTTATATGGCAAATTGTGGTGCTGAGCACACCATACAATCCCATACTACAATCCCATAATGCTGAAGGTGAAAGCAAATGATCAGCCAATTGCACTTCGCGATCGCATTATCAAAGCATTATTTGGGTCATAGAAGCATTTTTGTCTTCGATAACATTTTCATCGTAACCCCAAGAGTCATCCTAGTAGCATATCACGCTGCTTCGTCCAGCATTCACCTTCAATCATCATAGAGGCTCGAGATGTACTATACTCTCTTTTCATCTTGCCCTGCGCGTCAGTTGTTTCTCTAAATACATTTATAGTCAGAATGTCTCACTTGATAAACTTCTCACACAAGGCCTCACGAGGAGTGAGGGACTTGTTCAAGTTTATTTAAAGCAATCCCATGATTCTGTCGTACTATATGATCAATCTCTTTCATTAAGTTTGAAAGACTTGACCACCCCAATCTGAACTATGTCCCACGCTGGCTCGTACCAGCCGCTGAGGCTTGTCTCATGAGCTCAGCCACTTTTCCCTGTAAGAATCTTCAGCTTTGTTCTCGGAATATCAACGGATATTTCGTGTTGGTGAAAAACATACATAGCTTCTTGATTCTCATCACCAATATAGTATCTTGGCATCATGTAGCCACAATAGTGTTCTTTTGTTAGAATTTTTTCGTTCCAAGGTGAGATTCGTTGAAGTAGATGATGAGACGATCCTTTGGGTACCCGATGTGCTTTGTTTATTGTCTCTCCAAGCTAGTTACCCTTTGAAGTTTGATTAATCAAATTTATATCGTACAATCGTGGTCTCAACAATTGTTTGAAGGAGAAGTTCAAGGTGAGTAAATTTTCGACCTTGAACTCTCTTAGAAATTTTATTTTTTGTATGATATAAATATCGCATAATACTATCTGCTGCCTCAGTGATCCTTTGAACATGGTTTTTTTTCCAAGATTTCAAGTGAGATATAAATTTCATCACATCAAAAAGGTCTTGTGCATAACTCATCCACATCTTCCATTTCCCAAGAACCAATCTCTTTTTCCTCTAAAAGGTATTGTTAATAAACAAAAGACTAAACAAAAACAAATTCATAAAATAGTTGCATTCAATCAAAGATCTCCATTTCTCAAATCAATCTATCGTTTTTATGTATTTGAAAGTCATACAAATCATTGAAAAAGGGAAAACGTCTGAATTGATTATACTCATCGAATTTCTTCTAAGCAATAGCAGACAAAATCAAATCACAAGCTTCTTGATCTTCACCTCTAGCAGTAATTTCTAAAGTAACTCCAGCTTGTGTACTATACGTCATCCTAACTCTAACCAAAACCTTTTGACCTTTTGCTTCTGTTGAAGTTCCTCCTTTTGGATTTCCAATGACTATTCCTGATAAGTTTAATGTATGAACTGAAGTCGAAGTAGGATGTTCACTTCCTCCTAATGCTTCCATATTCAATAACTCAATAATCGTCTCACAAGCCGCTGAAAATTCCGGAAAATAATGAATCAGTAAACTTGATTGAAGATAAAACAGATAGTGATGGGAAAAAGACATACATTCCAAACTCTTCAATGAACTCAATGAAAACGTTTCGGTCACATTCACTCCAGACCTTAACCTATCCCATTCTTGAGTGAATCCAACATAAGTAGGTACAATATAATCTCCTACACCAATCTCGACTTCTTCAATTTGATACTCATCTTCATATCCTTCCTCTTCTGGTTCTCCACTCTCTGGATCCACTTCTTTGGAAATGAACTTCAATGTACATCCAAAACTACCTAAATCATATCCCATTCTACTATACGATACATAAATCGTTCCGGGATCAGTTCCGATTGATGGAATTGGAATTATGAAATCTTCTGTTAATGTCTCTGATGGTGAAGTGGGTGTCATCAAAACTGAAACTTGTTCTAGAATTGTATCTGGTAAAGTGTTGGTAAGATTGAACTATCACACCATAGATATTCCTCTCGTCAGTAACAGACTGTTGCTTTGAGGGATTGGGAGAGAAAACTCAACTTGGAAGACGACATGTTCAGCAAAGATATGCTTCACTAAGCTTACTACATACTCAGTCTCATGCTCAGTAAGTGGAATTGGTTTAGAAGAACTCTTCAGAACTGGTCCATAGTTGGCAAATTCAGGTACAGTAGCTAATTGAGCAGCGTAATTAGATTGAATCTCAGCTATCGTTGCTGCATTAGGACCTGGACCGCCGATCACATCCGCAGATGCCGGTTTGTTAGGGTTGTTCAACACCGTGAGATCGGCGGTTGTCTCATGACGTGCACCTAATTGCCAAAACAGAAAGAGAAACTTTAACGGTGGAAATTTGAAAAGTTTATAAAGATTCGAAGACTCACGGATAGCTTCTTGACGAGCCTGCTCACGACTGATACGAGGGATATTAGACAATTCAAATGGAGCTTCAGTTGCTTCAGCATTACTGATATAAGAAACCAATTTAGTTTCGAGAACAGCTAGAGAAATAGTAGAGTCTACAATCATGACAAAGAGAAATCAGAACCCAATCAGATAAGAGAGACATAGGAAGCACAAACCATCTTTAACGAATTTTTCAGCCAATGGTTCTTCTTTTAAAACTTTCAAGTAAAGCGCGGCTCGATCTCTAACTTCATCATCTACATCATCTAAACATCTACGAAGAGAAAAATATAAAAATCTCATTCCAAAACATACAAAGAGTGAGAATGACCAACCTAGTCAGGAGAACTTTGATACTAGCTTTTACCCCAGTATCAGAAACATTGACACCGAATTTAGCCAAACTGGAGACTGCAGCTGCACGGACAATGGCGTTTTCGAGGATGACTCGGTTGTAAATGTATCGAATGTATTTAGATGGTTGTAAAGCCTTTGGACCCTCGATCCCGAGTAAATGCAAGATCCGTACGGAGAGTTTGGTGAATTCGCAATCTTCGATGAATTCACATAGTTGGGATAGAGCTGATGGGATTCCAGGATAAAAAGGCAGATTGTGAGTAACGCGTGGAAATCTATGTAAGTTTTTGTTGAAGAAAAAGAACAGTACCTGTTTCTTTCGACTCGCTGATAAACTTGATCATATCGAAAATTGCTTCCACTACCGCACGTTTGAAATCATAACCACCTTCATCTCTTAAGATGCCAGATAAGAAGTTGAGCATGACAGCTTGTTTAGCCGGAAATTTGAGACATAAGGCCCGGATAGCATTGACGATGGTTACTTTAAATTCATCTGAGATCTCAGACATGAAAGCTGAGATTTGTTTCATTAATCTGTCTACCGATGCCTCATTTCCAGTCTGAACAAAATCGAATCCACGTCCAAGTAAGTATACATCTGAAAGAGACATAGGAGTCAAAACGTACCTTTAAAAGAGTTGTAATAGCAAATGTGGCTACTCCACGATTTTCGTCATTGATTAAGCGTTCCATATCAAGATTACAAGCTTGAACTGGCTGTGGGTGTTGCTGAGCTAATTTGGCCAACGTACGGATCGCAGCAAATTTAAGGGTACTCTTGGGTGACGATAAGAAGAGTTGAAGGACAGCTACAGGTCTGTAAAGTTCAGATGCAGTCACATTTCTCATCTCACAGATCGCTCGAGCTGCTTCATAATTGACCGCATCTGATTTGTGTCTTAGGAAACCTTCGAGTAATTCGTGCATCTGTTTGTGCAAGCTGTTGGTAGGTCACAAGACAAATTCATTAGTATTTGAGGTGAGATGGGTGATCGATCGTTGATAAACTCACTTGGGATCCTCATCCATCAATTTAGCCGCAAATCTGATCAACATACAAAGTGCATAAGGACTTCGTAAAGTGTTACTCTTTCCACCACCGAGAGATTGAATCATCTTTGAGACAGCCATCCGATCTTGTTGACGGATTCCATAAAGTAAACCGAGTGCATGATATTGAGTGATATAACTAGAGCTAGCAACAGGTTGAAATCCAGATTGAGCTTGACTACCACCGCCACCGAAACTACTTAAATAACTAGCAGCACCAGAAGGCATAAAGCTAGATGAAGAGCTAGTTCCTTTAGCATTTAATGATTCTTGAGCTTCATTGGCCCAACGTCTGATCACTTCTTTAGCGATTGGATAAAGGTGATAAGATGAAACCAGAGCTGCCGAACTGATCGATGCGTTCCGATCGACAATAGCAGATTTGTAAAATCTTTCGATACCTTGAATCATTGAACCATCTATAACTCGACAGAGTGCTCGAATCGCATTAGGTCGATATATAACCTCTAGATTCGGTTGCATATCTTTCATGATCGAAGAAGTAACCATGATCACATCTTGTGCGAGATGAGAGAGTTCTTTAATAACAAGATAGACCATTTGTCTCAATGCGCTCTGTTATAGAATATTCAATTCGATCATAGAGAATGATTGAAAAATCAGTTGATTCATACCAAGTCTCTGATCGGTATAAATACAAATGACTTACATCTTTATGTTGAAAGAGTTTAGTAACTCCAAAGAAGAGTGTAGTAGCTTCTTGAGGACCAAAAGTCTCACCCACGTATAGAAGGTAAACGATCTTGGTAAGTAAGATTCTACATTTTCTAGGTGAGATAGGTGATTCGTTGAAGACTCTTGCTTCTTGAATCACAGTGGTTTTGTCTTGCATGAAATGAGCCACTGAAATTGAAGTCAAAGTGAATTAGTGAATGTTTGAATGGTTTGAAAGATATCTTGTTTCACTTACCACCTGTTTCTTCATCTTTTTTGAATGACATGATGACTTCAATGTCTTTGCTGATGTTGTTGGATGATGATGGTGTTTGATGGTGAGAATGTTAAAGTGGTGGTGTTGGTCGTTGTTGACTGCTAAAGTGTCACTTGCTCTTTCGTCACCTGGCACGTGTCCCGTGGAGATCTGTAAACACTGACTGACACCACAACACTGATCGACCGGGTCCGCCTTGCCTTCGTGTTTGGTGTGCAGGTGCCGAAGAACATGGATTCGTGGCCCAGTGGTAAGGCGCTCGCCTTCGATATAGGTGTAGCGAGAGATCGTCGGTTCGACCCCGGCCGGATTCATGTTTTTTGATGGCTATCTTGCAATTTCTTAATTTTTCAATGAAGCTGTCAAGTGTTCATGGACAACGAGTAAAAAAGTAAGAGATTAGTTTGATCTTTCTGGGTTCTTGATTAGAGAACTTTTCCCTGTGTCAGTGTTCCTATAGCACATTGTCCTCCACACACAAAACTGTTTGAAATAAAACTGAATGATTTTTGTTTTGGAATTTACTGGTAGACTTTGGTGTAGCCCAACCATCCCCTTGTAGACCACCATCAATGGATGACTGAAGGTCTTTTGCTCAGCAGTTAGATCTTTCAAGAACGTGTTACCACAACCTTTCTTGAGTTTTCATGTTTCCTGAGCAGTCTGTTCCTCTTCCTGCCATTGTGGAAACATCTCTGGAAGGTTTCAATTTGATGACATTGTGATGAGATATCTGGATCTGTTCTGGCTAAATCCCACTCAGTTTGTAGATACCAACCTGATACTATTTCACCAAAATTTTCAACCTTTAGTTGTCCATCATTGCAATCATAAATTTTTGAGTTGAAGCCTAGAGATGCGTTTGTTGACGACTTATCTGCAGTAACGGGTGCAAGGGTAAGGCCAACCTTTTGTTTGACCATTGTCAATCACATATATCAGGAAGTATCTGAGATATCCAAGACAAATTTGTAGAACACAGTTGGCAAGGTAAGTAAGCAACATCCAGCCAGACTTTCTATGAACTTGGTAGAGCTATACATCTCATGAAACTGGAAGAGCGGACAAACAAGTCTCAACTCTTGTGAGAAATTACCTGCTAAACGCAAAACAGCAACATCAATTTGGTTTGATTAGCTTTGAAAGCATAACCAGTAGCTGGAAAATTAATGGGAGAACGGAAGAAATTCATAATGGTTGTCAATTGGGGCCTTTATCAGAAAGAGGGGTGACCCAACTCTGAACAGACAATCTCTGACCACCTATGTTGATCAATGTCTTACAAGCTTAACACCTGAAAAAAGGTCAGTCAGCTCAGATTGGTAAGACCTCTTTGAGACATCTACCAGTGCTCTACAGGCACTCATTTGTGTGTGTGTACATCAATGTGCTACAGGAAAAATGACATGGTGTTAATGTGTATGCATTCTCCTTGACTGAAGATTGTGCATAAGAACCATCAGTGTGTTACTAGAAACATGTATAACCCGGTTATATTGTGTATGATTTCAATCAGATTACCTGATATATCAGTTTTAACTTGATTTGACACAGGATATTGAGCTCTGAAGTATAGGTTCCCATTCAAAATCATGTGGAATATAGAGATCTATAATTATATATGTGAAGATATGTAAATTTTTGGTTATCAGGTAGTCTGGCTTTGAAATTCCTTCATCAGTCAATACTGAAAAAGAAAAATGTTATATATTCATGTTCAATTTATGAAGGAAACAAATACTGAGATAGTTTACATTTTGCTACAATTACCAAACTTGAGGGATCAATCTGGATTCCAAGAGTTGATATATCAAGTGTTATATTTTATTCAAGATCTGAAGAGGAACAACCAATGTGCCTTCAAAGTGATTTTATTTCTAGTGCTCTATAACAAATCCAACTTGTAATTCAAGCTTTGTTTAGTTGAATCCTCCTTTATTATTTTATCAACTTAACATAAAGAGTACACAAACAATTGGATTCCAAGATCATGTGATGTCAAAGGGGTCAAGCGCCAAATTGGATGAAATTCTATTGAGACGCGGGTCTGACTTACTAAGTTGTAATAAGACATTGATCTACAATTGCTCAAATAAGGCGCTTTGCTCAAAGAAAGTGATGCTGAAAGTGGTACAAGCTTGTGTACAAGGTGTCTACAGAGCTCTCCTCAATGTTTTGTGAGCTTGCACAATGTTTAGAACCCCCAAAATGGGGACGAGTGCGGATGCTCTTATCTACTTGCGAGGATTAAGATCATTATGATCAATTGTTGATCTTGAAGAAGTGGTACCCCTTCGTTCTCCACTTGGATGGCTCGGACGAGTATGTGTACATACATATATGTAATTTGCCGACATCAAGATCCGGCGCAATTGGAGATGCAATTCGAAGCTTTGGTTTCACGCCTCAAATAGGCTCAGCAGATCCTGATACCGATTTCGCCATGAATAAGTGGCTGGCGCCATTGAAGTTGATGCCAGGCACTAAACTGCGCGAAAACAATTCTAAACGTTTCGACAGAGGATGTAGAATTCAACCTGATTCAACACGTAGTTGTAACTAAGCCCACGCTATGTGTTTTATAACCATGATCAACAAGCCCCAGTTGCACTCCTCACCGCACTCGTCTGGTGAGTTCTCAAGTTGATGTTCCGAAGTCTAAAGAAGTCTTGACCCACAGGTCACTTACGGTCCCCCCCTCGAGTTTTCTGCACGAGGCCCTCCATTGGACCTTGCAAACCAAAACATTTCATTCCCTGGATCCCAGTTCACTCAGGGTCGCGACACCATCGATCAACGATAGAAAGTTGATAAATAAGCATTGCCTGAAGTTCCGTCCATTCCTGTAACACATGGCGTTCAAGAGAGATGTGGCGGATATGATTTTCATCGATGGCGAAAGCGTCTCAAAACATCAAATTTTGCGCGATACTACCCATAGTTTCATACCTGGAGGGTTTGTTGCATGTTGGTTAGGTGGTAAGCATTTTATATTTCCTTCACATTAAACTTTTCATGGTGTTAAAGTCGTTATCGTACCCAGGAATTGCATTCGTTCAGGCGATCCGACTGGCTGCCAGGCTTACGCCTGACCAACACTTCATCAGATGGGGGGTTTGGATTCTGCTGCTAGTGGAGGCGGCGTACTGTGCGTAAGTCGATCTAAGCCTCAACTTCCATAGGCGCCTGTGAATATTCTACGAGATATGATACTCAAAGCGAGCTGACTTATCAATCAATGTTCGCTAGTATCTTTGGTGCGTTTCTGATGCACTCAACCATCGGGGTCTTCGGAGATTACCAAGAGCTCTATAGGATACCTACGTTGCTGAGGTGAGTTTTTGGCTTGTTCTGTCAGTGCACGATTCACTGACTCATGCCCATGGCTTCACAAAATCTTTCAACCAATGTCATTATGACCTCAGTGTACATGCTTTGCTATCACGTATTGTAAGTACAACATTATCCAACGGGTTTGTGGCGATCAATGTGCGTCGTAGCTTGACTGACATTCAATTTCCTGTCCTTACATGTAGCTTATCACAGCTTGTGAGTAGTTTGTTGAGTTGGATCTAAGGATTTATTTGACCTCAACTCACCAATGGAACCTTCATTTCAGCACAAGTTGTTCTTGCCGCAAGGGCGTGGCTTCTTTCGGGAAGAAAGACATACATACTCGTAACAATCTTGATCTTTTGTGCTTATCACCTGGGCGTTTCGTTCATTATCACAAGACATTGTCTTACAGTGACACATTACCATCACCTACTAGAACCTAAATGGCTATGGCAGATGTAGGTCCCTCGAATCTTTGAAAAATTGACCCTTTTATAGACAACTAGCTGAATATATTCCAAGCCATTGCTCGCGGACTTGAATTCCAGGATGTATGGAGCAGCTGTATGTTGTATTTTGCCCGGATTATTCAGAATTCAGCTCAGTGCTCAAACTGAATTCCTTCTTTTATCACACTAACTATCTATATGTGGGGGTTAGGTCGTCAGCGATTCAATCATCACACTATCTCTCTTCATGATCCTCAACAAGCGAAGGACAAAGACCACAGATGTGATGACGTCAGTGGCATATTCTGAGGGCCCAACATTTGGGGAGGATAACTGATAAAAGTCCTCAACTTTAGAAACCTCAATGAAGTCGGGATCTTGATCATCGAATCTGCGCTTCCCACAACCCTGATGGCCATCGCCTCATTGGCTGTTTTTGGAAGGGTGGGAGTGGGTGCATTGTATTCGTTGGGGTGAGCTCTGAGACATAAGCTTTCGATAGAAATCACGCTGATCAATCACTTTAAATAATCTCCGGCCATTTTTGTTATTCCTAGATATATCTCAACGCAAGCATACGCGATTTCTGTGGTGGGTATTGAGGAGGCATCAATCTGCTACCCTGTCTCACTTCAATCAGCACTTTTCAGAATCTAGGGAGCTAATCTTGTGTGAATATACCATCGCTTTCTTAGATTATTTCGGTCAATTCGGGCCTCACTGAAAATAGGAGGCGGCAAAGGGGAAACATCAAACGTGAAGATGAACCGCTTTCCAACAACCGTTCAAACGTAAGTCGATCCATCTATTCCCTGTGTATTTGTGTAATTCTGATTCAAGAAAGGCTGACCTATGTGGAAAACTTTGAAGAGAGCTGCTGCTACCGATAATTTTGATAGGTCGATAGTAGAGACAGCAACCTTGGATGAAGCAATGCAGGAACAAATCCATCAAGAATCACAAGCCATGTATTTACACACACCCTCAAGAAGAGCCACACAAGTCAACATAATCTCAATATGTACGGCCAAATCATCTGTGGGTACAAGTGGTGAATCAATCGGCGCAAGTACTCCTGAAGTTGGACGAGAGAAGACAATAGTTTTGGAGAAAAAATATGCATGAGTATGAGTTTTCATGGGGTAGAAGATAGATTTTTCATATCCCAGCTGTTTTAATCACTCATTCTTTCATTCTGCACTGTGTTTCAGTTGTATTTAAGTTTTTTTTGCGTAGAATGTCTCACCATTTTCATTTTCATTGATAATAGATGTTCAGGAATAGACCAGACCACGACTTCAATCAAGGTCAGCAGTTTATTACAAGGCGATAAAGCAGCCCTGGAACAGTGGTATCCATACCTAATTCTATGAAAGCTCCATTGATAGCTGGATAAGTAACCGGGCTGCTCAATTTCAACTTTGAAGAACAGTCAATTCCAAAGATTTTGACTAATTTTACCCGCAAAACGCGAGCAAATTGGTGGTGGCTTTGGCAGCAAGCTTTATGTATGAAACATAGTGTGCTAG